GGATGTATACTGCTTCATCCAAGTTGTCTACTTTGACCTCCACCATTGCATCTCAGTCGGCTCCTCAGCCAGTTCAGGTCCCACAGTCTATAGAGGATGCTTTGAAGAAGTTGCTTGATAACCAAGAGAAGATCCTTAGCACCCAGGCCGAGTTGGTGAAGGCAGTGGCTTCACATGGCAAAGCTCTAAAGGAGCTTGCCAAGGAACACAGGAAGCTGCGCAAGACACGGGCTTCCAGGGAGTTCGTGAAGGAGCTCAGGGCAGATGTAGAGAGACTGAAGGCAGATCAGCTGCCTTTAGATTTATTATTTGAGGGCCCAACTCCAGCAGCAGCCACAGTTCCGGAGCAGTCACAGAGGCCTCTTAAGAGGAAGAGGACTATCCCGAGAGAAGATGATGCCGTTATCCTGTTAGTAGACCCTTCGGAAGCTTCCTCCAGTCAGCCACAGGATGTACCAGATCCACAGCCAGTCCAGGTCCAGTCCTAGGTCCCAGCAGTTGAGCAACAGGAGACCGGGAACCAGCCTGAGGTTCCCGAGCATACCGAGGACCCGGGGACCACTCATGTTCCTATGCAGACGGACGAGGCTTAGGGAGTCTTCATATCCTTTCACTACTTTTTGGTGCTTATTTTTGCTTTAGTTGGCATTGGGGACAATGCCAGCTTTTATTTGAGGAGGTGTGCCTACTTTTATCCATGGATGACTGTATATATAGATTGACTTAGTTTATTCTTTCTTTGATTTTCACTTGGTCTGTATATAATCCTGCATTTAGTTACTTTTATCGTACTTTTTATCTTCTTTTTGGGTCTGTATATAAAGTTACATTATTGTATATATTCATCCCCCCATTGTATATTCTAATCCCCTATTGTAAATATTCATTCTATTTTCTATTTTCGCAAAAAAAAATTTTGTTTTTAGCTTCTTATATAAGCTCGTAGACTTTTGTTTTATTTTGGACATTTTTAATAAGCCTTTGGTTTTCTTAATGCCACGGTTTCTTTCCAAGATAGAATTTTGCGTGAACCGGGTGGCTCTTCCCAATGATAGATGGCATGACAAACTTCTTAAGGGTTTGAGTCCGTTTTTAATTTTTCTTTTATTTTTTTAGTAGTTTATAGTTAAGGGTACCTCAAGCATAGCTTCACTTGGGCCTAACACATTTGCCTTTGATCCCATGGTCAAAGACAGGTGGTTGTGTTTAGGATGGTGAAAGTAGTGACCTTGAGACTCTTGTGTTGACCAAACAAACATCATGTGGTCTTTCGGGACTATTGTGTGCTCAATCGTGTCTAAGGTTGTTGTGGGCCCTCGACTCTAAGTCTTTAGCAATCCTTGAGTGTGTGTGGTAAGAAATCGAATTTTGAGTCCAAGTCCCGAGCCAATGGTCCAGAACTTGCCCTGAATGTTTGTTGAGGCGAAATTTTGAGTGAAATTCGACTTGAGAAGTGATTATAGGCTCTCCTTGATCCAAATGATAATTGAACAAATTCCATAGCCTACCAATGATATGATCCCTAGTTAACCCTTTTGAGCCTTAGACCTTTTTCTTTCAAAAACCATGTTACAAGCCTATACCCGTTCTAAAAGATACCCTCTCTTGGCACCCGATCTTTCCTTGAGCACATGGCAAAAACATAAGTTTGGGGGAGAGACGAGGATAACAACAAAGTGGTATGGGGCACAAAAATGAAGAAAACGAAAGGCAATGAAAAAGAAAGAAAAGAAAAAGACAAAAAGAAAGCCCAATGTGAACAAGAATAAAAAGGGACTCAAGGAAAAACAAAAGTGAAAAAGGTGTGGAAAAAGTAGAAAAAGGAGAAATGTTTTGAATTGCATAAGAAAGAGTGACAATGCGTCTCTCTAACCCCTTGAAAGGAAGTGAAATACTCAAAAGAGTCAAAAGAATTGTGCCAAAATGAATCAAAAGAAGTGTTTTAGGGAAGATGGAACCCATATAGACCAACAACTTTTCCTACCCTCAACCAAAAGCCTTCACATTGACTCCACAAAAGCCCTATATGATCTTGAGTCGGATGACGCTCGCATTAGTGGATACTTACATGAGGGTCAAGCATATGGTACTTAGAGCCGGACTTGTGACCTTTCCTTGAGAGAGACAAGTGAACTCCCATTAACCTCAGTTTGTGTGCTTATACTTTAAAAGGCGACGTTTGCTTAGGGAGAGTTGAGGATGTATGAGTTTGGGTTCCACAGCGACCAAAGTAATTGAGAGAGTTCTTTGATGTAATGAGTCAATTCTTGATGCTCTTGTGTCACACTTGATCCATAGTTTTCAAGGTTTAAATGTTGTTAATGATCTATTTGTATTGACGGCAATTGTTAGTCCCAATTGATGCTTGTTGAGGTTACTTTAGGTCAGCTGGAATTACTTGGATTTTCCTTTAAGGGGTGAGTCTTACTTTGTTTGCTTGAGGACAAGCAAATGTTTAAGTTTGGGGGAGTTGATAAGTTAGGATTTTAACATGTTTTATGCCCCTACTTGCCTATGCTTTGATCATATATTTGTACAAAATAGTCCCAAAAGGCTCACAGGTTGTGCTTGTTTGCAGGTTTGATCGACAAAGTGACGAAATGTCAAAGATCGGCTCAAAAAGGAGTGAAACCTGTTCAAGTATCAAAGACCAAGAAATCTAAGGGAAGACGGCCTAGTGCGGACCGCGCAAAATGGTATGCGGCCACACTAGGAGATTCAGAGAGTTGGAAAACTGGGCTTAAGGGCAATGCGGCCGCGGTACATATCTCGCGGTCCGCGGTGAAGGCTCCGTGGCTGCACGTCAATTTTGTGCGGTCCGCAGAATAGAGATTCAGAGAGTTGAAGTTTTCAGAGTCCACACCCATGCGGTCCGCGGTCGTCATTGCGCGGACCGCGCCAGCTTCCTCCGCGTCCGCGGTCCATTTTACGCGGTCCGCGGAGCCCAACTTCAAAGAGATAAATTTTGAATTTCAAGAGCCTTGTGCGGCCGCGGTCCATTTTGTGCGGCCCGCACTGACCCCGCAGGGGCATTTTTGTCCAGTTTTTCCAGCTTAGTATAAATAGAACATTTTACCTTTTTTAGGTCATCTGTTATATTCAGAACACAGCTGCGCTCGTGAGAACAACTTTGGTAGCCATTTTTGGCATCTTAGCTTCTAATTAACGATAGATTCTTGCAAGTTAATTTAGTATTTAGTCATTATGTCTTGTTCTTCATCTATTTCATCATTTTCTCCTTCACACACGAGTAGCTAAATCCATTAATCTATGGGTGTTGCCATCTAGGGTTAGATTGACTATGGGTGTTTGCTATTTGGGTTGATTTTATGTTTTAATCTATAAATTGGTGGTTGCAAACACTGATTTGTGCTTTGTGGATGTGAATCTTCTTGAGAAAGAGAGTCTAAGTCTTCAAAATTGACCCAACAAGGAATTGGGATGGACTCATGAGAAATGATAGTCCCAATTAATGGGTTAAATCTCGAGAGAGTAATCACCCTACTTGAACCCTAGTTGCTTGGTCTAATTTGCCTACCCATTTGGTCTTGAGAGAGTTGAGTGGGCAAAATCACTCTCTCTACCGAGAGGTGTGAGAGTGGGTAAAATTGTGCAACGGTTATAGCATAAGCCCCAATTATGTCAATCGAACCTTAGTAACATCTACCCGTCAATTAGCCACCTATAGTGATGTCACGACCCTAGTGCCCTTCTTCCCATTAGATACAACTTTAGCAATTATCTCGTAGCATAATCTAGTTTCAATTAGTAGTTTGATAATAGTAGTTTATAATTGAAAAACCCAAAAATGTTAGAAATGACATTTAGAACAATTACATGACTCTAGTCTAGATAGATACCCAGCTCCAATTTCTAGCTCTCTGAGGAATTCGATCCCGACCCTCAAATCGGGTAAAAGCTATTGCGACCCTCTCTTCCTACTTAATAGTAGTGTGGAGTTGGCAGCGATCAACAAGCGGAGACATTCCAGATTCCCAACAACATGCTGCACCTATTGTAGAATAAAGGGTTGTTCTCTGGGTCATACATTGAAGACCCACAACAACATCTGAAGAACTTCCTATCGATATATGTCACTCAAAGACAGCCGAATGTGACTCCTGAGGCGATCAAATTATTACTGCTTCCATTCTTAGTGACGGGGGAGGCTCAAACTTGGCTGTATTCGCTCCCAATAAACTACATTGCTACTTGGGAGGAACTAGTCAAGCAGTTCTTGAACAAGTTTAATCCACCCAACAAAACTACGAGGCAGATTGATGAGATATTGCAATTCAGGGAGAAACCGACTAAGACTTTGCAAGAAACCTGGGAGAGGTTTAAGGGTATGTTGGTGAAGTCTCCTCACCATGGCATTCCAGATCAGATGTTGGGACATATATTCTATATGGGTTTGGCTGACAGTCTGAAGTCCAATGTAGATGCTTCTGCCGGGGGTGCATTCTTGAGCAAAACCTTCACAGAGTGTAAGATTCTTCTTGACAAGATGTCTCAAAATTCAGGCTGGATGACGAGAGACACAACACTCACTCCAATAGTGCATTCTGTCTCTCTTGACCCGAACAACACAAATGCATAAAACATAGCCACTCTTATGACCCAGATTGAGCTTGTTGACAAAGAAAATCGATGAGATGGGTATGAAACAGGTGCACATTGTTGATACTACAAATGGAGGCTTATGCACTCCTTGTATAAACCAATCATATGTGTGCTCGTGGAGTGGAGAGAATGACAACTAGGGTTTCAGAGAAGACATGAATTATGTCAATAATTTTGGAGGTCAGAGGCAAGGTGGACAACAATGGGGACCAATATCAAACCAGCAGTACAGACCAAACCAGCCCCAACACAACCCCAATCTAGGAGGAGCACGAGCACAAGGACAAGTCGTGCCTTATCAGAGGTAGTAGGGCTATAATCAGCAACACCAACAACAGTTGGCCTACCAACCACCTCATCAACAGCAGGATAGTAACATGATCGAAATCAGGGGTATGCTGCAACAACTCATTGGGACAAAAGGAAAGATGCAAGAGAAGTTAGCTGCACATGATTCAACAATCATAGGCAATGAAACTCAATTAGGACAGCTATCTATGCCCTTGAACAATCGCCCACAAGGAACATTGCCTGCAGACACAAACATTAATCCAAAGGATCAGAACCCAAATCAGCTCATGGCAGTGAGTCTCAGGAATGGAAGAGATTTAGACATGGAGCAAGAAGTTGCTCAATCTAAGAGAGAGACAACGCCAACTACTCCAGCTACCCCAGTTACACTAGAGAGAAATGAGTCAGCAGAGCTCACCGAGGTTGTAATCGAGCAAGCACAGGTTGACAAGGGTAAGGAGAAGGAAGGTGAACAACTCCCAGAATAGGCAGTAGAAAAAACTTCCAGCAAAGAAAAGACATAAAGTAGTGGGCAGAGGTTGATTCCTGCATCATTCCCTCAGAGGTTGGCAAAGCAAAAAGAAAAATGATCAATGCAGGAAATTCATGGAAATGCTCAGACAAATTCAATTGAATATTCCACTGATGAATGCTTTGAGGGAAATGCCAGGGTATGCAAAAATGATGAAGGACCTGATGTCGCAAAAATTTGACTTCCACGGCCTTTCCATTGTAACTCTGACGCAAACTTACAGAGCGGTAGTGACAAGGCCTATGGCTCAAAAGGTGTCTGATCCAGGTAGTTTTACTATCCCATGCACCATTAGGAGTTATGCTTTATCTAAAGCATTGTGTGACTTGGGAGCCAGTATAAACTTGATGCCCTTGGAAATCTATATAAAACTAGGCATTGGCAGAGCTAGACCGACCTCGATGTTGCTGCAACTGGCTGATCGCACAATCAAACGACCGACAGGAATTCTTGATGATGTGCTTGTTCTAGTGGGGAAATTTGTATTCCCTGCATTCTTTATCATTCTTGACTGTCAAGTGGATGAAGAGATACCAATCATTCTAGCAGGCCATTTTAGCCACTAGGAGAGAATTGATTGATTGTGAGACTGGAGAATTGAAAATGAGGTTGAACAATGAAGAGATAATATTCAATGTTCAACAATCTATGAGGACACCGAGCGAATTTGCAAATTTCTCACTAGTGGAGGCCGTAGATGTAATATTACAAGAGGAGGATGAGACTATTAATTTTAGGGATCTATTGGAAGCCTGCCTGATGAACCTGGAAAATATGGATGGTGAGGAGTTGGCAGAGTGGGTCATGGCTCTTAAAGGTCAAGGAATCTAGAAAAGGGAACCCGAGTTTGAGCCCCTACACTTAGAAGAATGAACAACACCACCTACGAAACCATCGATAGAAGAGCCACCACAGTTGGACCTGAAGCCGCTTCTAGGCATCTCAGGTACACTTTCTTAGGGCCTAATTCTACTTTACCTATTATTATATCATCCGATTTGCTAGATGTGCAGGTAGAGCAACTCCTACAGGTGTTACAAGAATGTAAGACTGCTATCGGTTGGACCATGGCGGACATAAAGGGTATCAACCCAGCCTTTTGTATGCACAAGATTCTCTTGAAGGACACAAACCTTTCAGAGAACATCAACGAAGGCTGAACTCGAATATAAAAGAGGTGGTGAAGAAGGAAGTGATCAAATGGTTAGATGCGGGTATCATCTTCCCCATCTCTGACAACCATTGGGTCAACCCTGTTCAGTGTGTGCTGAATAAGGGAGGAATGACGGTCGTACAAAATGAGAATAATGAGTTGATCTCGACTCGTATTGTCACAGGATGGCGGATTTGCATGGATTATCGGAAATTGAACACAGCATGCTGGAACGACCATTTTCCCTTGCCATTCATTAACCAAATTCTGGACAGGTTGGCTGGGCGATCTCACTTCTGTTTCTTGGATGGATATTCGGGGTACAATCAGATCTCAATAGCCCCCGAAGACAGAGAGAAAACATCATTCACCTACCCGTATGACATCTTTGCCTTTCGGAGAATGCCTTTTGGACTTTGCAATGCACCGGCTACATTTCAGCGGTGTATTTTAGCCATTTTCACGGACATGGTTGAAGACATTATGGAGGTGTTTATGGATGATTTCTCCGTGGTGGGGGATTCATTTGAAGATTGTCTTCACAACCTAAGAAGAGTGCTCAAGAGATGTGTGGAGACAAATCTGGTGCTGAATTGGGAGAAGTGCCATTTTATGGTACAAGAAGGAATAGTGTTGGGACATTGAGTGTCTAAAAAGGGAATTGAAGTCAACCATGCCAAGGTTGATGTGATTGAGAAGCTGCCATCACCAACTTCGGTAAAGGTAGTGAGAAGTTTCCTTGGGCACGCCGGGTTCTATAGGCAATCATTAAGGATTTTTCCAAGATGGCTTACCCCTTATGTAAGATTCTTGAAAAAGACCAGTCCTTTGTGTTTTCTGATAATTGCAGGTTAGCCTTTGAGGAGCCGAATAAGAGATTGGTGACTGCACCCATCATTGTTGCACCCAGCTAGGAGCAACCATTCGAGCTCATGTGCGACGCCAGTTATTAAGCTATAGGAGCAGTCTTAGGGAAACGCAAAGATAAGATGATGCACCCGATTTACTACGCAAGCAGGGCACTCAGTGGTGCACAGCTCAATAAAACTGTAACAGAAAAGGAAATGCTGGCTATAGTGTTTGCCTTCGACAAATTCAGGTCGTACATAATCAGTTCAACAGTTATTGTTTACACTGACCATGCAGCAATTAGGTACTTGATAGCAAAGTAAGAGTCAAAGCCATGCTTGATTTGCTGGGTTCTTTTACTACAAGAATTTGATCTAGAAATCCGTGATAGAAATGGGACGAACAATCAAGTGGCAGACCACCTCTCGAGGTTGGAAGGAGCAGAAAAGAGAATGGAGGTTGAAGATATCACAAAGACATTCTCGGGTGAACAGTTACTTACTGTGACAATGGAGGAGGCGCCACGGTATGCTGATATCGCTAATTACTTAGCAAGCGGTATTGTACCTTATGATCTCTCCTAAATTCAAAAGAAAAAGTTCTTCTGTGATTGTCGATCTTATTATTGGGATGAACCTCTACTTTTTAAGATATGTGTTGATAACATGATCTGAAGGTGTATCCCCGAGAATGATGAACCTTCTGTTTTGCAGGCTTGCCATGCTTCACCATACGGTGGACACTTTGGAGGAATCTGGACAGCAGCAAAAGTGTTGGAATCGGGGTTGTATTGGCCAAATCTGTTCAAGGATGCCCATGCTTGGGTCAAAAGTTGCGATGAATGCCAAAGGACATGCAACATATTTCGCAGTCACGAGATGCCAATGACCACAATTCAAGAGGTGGAGGTATTTGACATGTGTGGGATCGACTTTATGGGGCCGTTCGTCAGCTCGTATAGTAACAAATATATATTGGTAGTGGTTGACTATGTCTCGAAGTGGGTCGAAACGGTTGCTCTCCCAACCAATGATGCAAAAAGGGTGACAAGTTTCCTAAAGAAAAACATCTTCACACGTTTTAGCACTCCGACAGCTATAATCAGTGATGGTTGAACCCATTTTTACAATAGAGAGTTCGCACGCCTGTTGGAAAAGTATGGAGTTCTCCACAAAGTAGCCTCACCATACCACCCACAAACAAGCGGGCAAGTTGAAGTGTCCTATAGGGAAATTAAAAGTGTCGTTACAAAAACAGTGAATGCAACAAGGACCGATTGGGCGAAGAAGCTGGATGATGCATTGTGGGCGTACCACACAGCATTCAAAATTCCAATTGGTATGTCAACGTACAAGTTGGTGTTTGGAAAGGCATGCCACCTTCCGGTAGAGCTCGAACATAAAGCACTTTGGGCATTACGGCATTTGAATTTGGATATGGAGATCGCAGGCACCAACAGAGTCACTGGGTTACATGAGCTCGAGGAATTCAGGTTCCAAGCATTTGAGAGTGCTAGACTATACAAAGAAAGGATGAAATTAATGCATGATAAGCACATCATGGATCTGAACTTCAAACTCGGAGATCTAGTGTTGTTATACAACTCGAGATTGAGATTGTTTCCAGGTAAGTTGAAGTCCCGATGGTCAGGACCCTTCAGAGTGGTGCAAATGTTCTTAAGTGGAGTTGTGAAGATTGAATCAGAAGATGGGACAAATAAGTTCAAGGTGAATGGGCAAAGGCTGAAATAATACCTTGGAATTGCCGAAGAAAAAGGGGATAGAGTGGTAATAACTTTGGAAGAGCGCCAGTACGCGAATGAGGAGAGATGATCAAAGCTTGCATCTTGTCGCGACATTAAATTAGGCACTTCCTGGGAGGCAACCCATGGTTTGTTGTAATTCGTCGTGCCGCGACGTTAAATCCAGCGCTTGTTGGGAGGCAACCTAATTTTTGTGTTTTTCTTTTTTTTTTCGTGTTTGATTTTGAATTGTGAAGATATTGACGTGTTTATAAATGCTGCAGAAATGAGATAGTGAAAATTGGAATGACTCGGGGTGAAGAAATCATATAATAAGGCCAAAAGTGGCTAAATTGGAACAGCTGAAAAAATGGCCAGCACTGGGCTTCTCTAAATCCGCGTCAAGCGTGAAGGCAGACGCGGCCCAAGCTAACCACAAAAATAAAACAGTGATATGAGGGCATCGCGCGCCCCACATCGCGAACTGTTAAATTTATTTATTTTTTTCTTTCTTTCTTTCGTGTTCTTCTTCAAACCTAATATCCCAAACCCCTATTACATCTCCCTCACGTATATCCTAACAGTTCCCTCCCCAATTTCCCCAATTTCGCATTCCCCCTACCCCTTGTTCTGCCGTCCACCCCCCCTCCCCCCTCTAAGATCAAGTAAGTAATTTTGTTTTGTTCTGGCATTTGTTTTGTGCTTTATTTTCGCACGGTCCTATATCATGTTCCCCATATTTTTTTTACGTTCCCCACCCCCTCTAGCATCAGTTTTACAGTTTCGCACCACCTCCCCTAGCGTCAGTTTGTTGTTAGTTTTCTTGTTATGGTTTATTTTAGGTAGAGTAATTGGATTTTGAATTTTGGAGCATAGTTTTCTCTACGATTTTGTTGGTTGTTATTCATAGTGAGGTGTAAACTACAATTCCCACTACCTCACTCAAATTGGGATGGCAAAGCACATGTTACTTGCATTGATACATGAGGGTAGAAATTATGCATATAAGATGTTCGACAAATTGCCCGAATGAGAATTTTGATAGTTTTTGTGAAGTCTGAGTAGCAAAACTCATTGTTTTGGTAATATGACCATCTCTTGGGTGTGGGGTAGCCGTTGGGGGTCTTTGCACTTAAATGGCATTCGTTTTAGAACAAATGTCCACCCGCGGTCAACTTGCAAGACTCGCGCGCGACGTGTGCGTCAGCCTGCCCACTTGATTTTCAATGATACTAAGTAACGTTAAATCACTGTCATTAAGTTGTAATAGGCACTTGTACTGTGGTTGCACATTACGCTTTTGGGTAAGTGTGGGGTGCGATGTATACCACTATGACTTAATGTTATACATTATACTAATATGTGTTTTGTAACTTTTGCAGGTGATATGGCCGTCTCGAAAACACCAACTAGAAGCCATGGAGCCGGTGGTAGTGGCAAGCCACCCCCAAAGAAACTACCAAGTGACATGACTATAGCGGAGAAGGGTGATACTGAGCGGCCTCCAAAAATACAGCAAAGGGTGCGTCAACAAAGGCCGTCTAGGCTAAGAGAGGTGCCATTACAAATTAGAGTAGGGGCTTCAAAGCCACCACCGGCTAAGAAATGGAAAGTAGTTGAGGTGAAGGGAAAGGGAAAGGCGAAAAAGGTTATTGACTCAGAATCTGAACATGACTCATCTGATGAAGAGGAAGCAGCAATCCTGTTGCACAACGGTGAAGGGGAGCCGAGTGTTCCGGGTGCTACAGCCGTGTGGGACTACCAAGTCAAGTTATCCAGATATTTTGCGAGTAATAGAGCAGAATGGGTGGACACGCTTTGCT